ATGTACAGAATTTTCCACTTGAATCTTCTGACATGCGAAAAACCTTCAAGCCGTCCAAAAAACGACGAAAAAATGCTGCCAACATCAGCAAGCAAGAAGCGGGCGGACTCCGGTTCGGATAGGCTCAAAACCGTGGCGGCGCGTGAGCGATCGATTATCGATATTTTCCCATTTGAAGCTATTGTAAAGAATCGATTATTAATGTGTTCGTTGCGAATACTCTGTTTGACGATCTTTTCCCATAGGTTTAAACGGCAGATTAATCGATAGATCGCAAAGCACGCCACGCCATTGGCTCAAAATAAGTTGTGTTCAGCACAAGGTAACCGGACGACCAAACAAAACTCGGCGGCTTACCAGTTAGCTTCGGAGAACTCAACGTTGAGTCAGCACGAAGTCGGAGAGCGAGCGACGGTGTTGCCAACCTGAGATAGCCCTTGAAATTCCTACAAGTTTCTGAAATTTCATGAAGAATAGCCTGAAATTTCTAACTGTGGATATTCCACATGAAAATTTCATGTAAGCACACGTGAAATGACACGGCGGGATTCCGATTTTTATTTTTCGTGAAATTGTCCACCTCGGCAGTCAACCGGGCGCGCTACCCAGAAGGCGCCAAGCTCGAATCGAATCCGCGAACTCGCCCACTCCACGTGGTCTCGCGGGTTCGCGCGATCCGCGCGTCATGCTCGCTCATCGCATCGGTTATTCACCGATACGTTCATCGATTATTCATCGGGCTCACCGATGCACGGAATCGCGGCTATTTTTACCGACGATCATACATCGATTTTGTCCGAGACTTTCGATGGTGTTGTTATGGGGAAAAAAGTTGCTTGGACGTAGAGCAGTCCACTCTTAAAACATTCGAAAAGAAAAAATAATCGTAATTCAATCGGAGTTTTGTTTGAATCAAGAGCAAACCATCTTAATTTGACCGGATTTCCTTTCGATTCTAGCAAAAATCCGATTGAATACGGAGTATTTTTTTGTCAAATTTTCTGAGAGCCTAGACTCTGGATCCAAGAGACTTTTTTATGAATACTACGACGCAAAATTCTACCTCCGAACGATTGGAAAATAACTTTGACATCTCTGTATTTTGAACGTTCTACACTTTTCGTGAGTGTTGGAAACGAAATCGTACTTGATTCACAAGTCTAAATTTTCGCCACGAGAGTTCGTGGTTGCCTCTTGGAGGAGGAATTTCCACGACTGAGAAACATTTTCAACTTGGTCGGTTTTTTCCGACAGTTAAAAAACTTGTAAACCTGCTGAACATAAGTATGGATCACAAGGTAATGAATGAACTATCCTTCTTGAAATGCTTCACTTAAAAGATGGAACTCACATAGTCGAATTAAAATAGAGGCCAGATAATTTGTCAGAACTGATGAAAAAAATTAGTTTTTGGAAGTGACAGTATTTCAGCCCGTACATGGGTGAAAGTTACGAAGATTGCCAAAAATTAAGGACCAAAAGGACGTAGTAACTCAGCCGACGTGCAAGTGCAAGTATCTGCGAATGAAGAAACAAAGACACCTTCCAGTTCCGTTAAATTCGCCCGAAAATTGGGCAACTTGGCAACATGGAAATTCAAATACTCCGACTCGTTGCCTAATTTGGCACCAAAATTAAAGCAAGTCTTTCACTTCTGTTCCATAGTTTCAGACCTACCTAGGGACAGCAAATAAACCTCAGTGATTACGGCTAACGATTTGGGCATCAAAAATTCGTAACAACTACAATACCGATTTATTTTGAGTTGAATTGAGCTTAGACTCTTTTGACACAAGTGCAAGGCTACCTCTGCGTTCACACAGTGAGCGCTGGCTGAACAAGTAGACCATGTGACACGGGTGCCTAACTTACGATTTGGTACTTTTTGACAGTTTTTGACTTGCGCGGATTCTAAAATTTCACCTTACAAGTTAGGTCCTTTAATTATATCGAGACATTTCGCTTTGAAGCACCCAATGCTTTTCTAAATTACCTACTTTGTGACGTTTCAAAAAAAAAAAAGAAAAAAAAAGAGGGGGTGGGGGTTAGGACTCCCTGATTAATAGTCATGCACTAAAAAATCAGCGGCACCAAGACTGATCAACTTCTTCACTTGTCAAATTCGACATGAGGAGACGCAATTGTAAGATATGGTATTAGGTAGCATCTACCCTAACACTAAAGTTGATAGAGCATAGAATTTTCCTCATTTTTGAAAATCTTATTAGCAGCGAATGAAATCAGAAGTTCAAAATTTAAGAAAGTTGCGGGATCTAAAGCTAATCTTTTCCAAAATAAGTCAATTCCACGACCACGGCAATGACAATACGTTTCTGGAGAAAATCAGCTTATTGAGAATGACCGGTTTACTTAACCGCGGAAAACCAAGTTCAAGGTCCATCATCCACGGAGGTAAAATTCGGCATCGAAGACACAAGGCCTGGAAATTCCGCAACACTGGCACGATTCCTTGCGCAGCAGTTTCGGTTTCCCAACCTGCGTCTGCGTCGGGTATCGGCCGAGCGCTGAGGCAGAGAGAGCCCGGTTGGGTTCATTCCGCGCCTGAGAGGTGAAAGGTAGGCAACCCCCCATACGCCAATGAAGGCTCCACGTGCGCTGACGGACGCAACGTGCACCATCTGGCGCCCGTGGTACCGAACTGCGGCGTTGTCGAACGTACTCCAAAATCACGGGATTTTCAACCAAGAGTCAGACATTCAATTGGAATATTAATGAAAGTTGAAAATTAGCAAAATAGTTTGGAAAAAAGGAAGAAAATTTTTTTAAAAATTTAATCCTGATTTTTGGGAGAGTGAGTGATTCTTCAAAAACCAAAATTTACAGCACAAAAACTCATTCGGTAGGAAATCATCTAAAATTTCTACTTAGCTGGCTTTAAAATACCGATTTCAATTTAGAAAGGAGTTTTATTCCTGGGTACTCCAAGACATGCAAAGGTTGCTACACAGCAATACAATAACAGGAGCACATCAAACCAGCACAAAAGTTGAATGTAAAATTTAAGAATCCAATGAAAATAACATGCTGCCGTTAACGAGCCACAGAAAACATTTGAAAATGGAGGGCAGTGTGTTTTGATAAATTCGAACGGCTAATAAATACAAGCAAAATTCTTGATGTTCTTACTCAGCTTGCCAAGAGATAACTGTCAACCAAAATGTCTCATTGCGAAAACCACTTCAAACACTTGCAGCAATAAGTAAAACAGATACTTGGGCGATTAAACAAAACCAAACCTGGAGGAAAACGATCACAAATGACAGGAAGGAGAAGATTTTAAATTGGCAGAGTTTGGTAAAGGTCGGGTGAATTAGAGGAAAGAGAGCTCATAAGAAAATAAAAATTGAGCGCATTGCAAAAGCCTGTGCACATTAGACCACATCACCACAGTGAATCTGCATGCCTATTTGATGGATAGTTTAGATGAATTTACTTGAGAATTGAATTTATTTAAAAAAAAAAAAAAAAAAAAAAAAAAAAAAAAAATTCTAGAAGAGCGGAAAGGAATAAACAAAATCTGACACAGTCAAAATGACAAGGGTAAAAATGTGAACGGCAGGGCATATAGTGCATGACAGTCTTAGGATTTGCAGATAGAAACTATTTACAAACTGAATAAAACTTAACAAAACTCACGGAAACTACTAATGCAATGACTCGCATAGGAAAAGCACTTCATTCTACATTTTCTCAGACAAGAGTTGAATTGAAAACACCAACGTTAGAACCAGGTGTGGATAGAAATGCAAAAGTAGGGAGTAAGAGGGTGCAGAAAGAGCAAAACACAAAATAGTGGGGGGAAAAAAATTCAAAAGTGTTCCTATAACAAACTCCGAATCCAGGAGGAGAGTGAAATGTTTGTAAAGAAAAAGGATGACAAATCACAAAGTCTGACAGAACCATGTGAAAAAGCAGAACTAATCTGTGACTAAACTCATCTAAGTAACCCTACGAAACTAATATGTATCGAATCGAAATCCCAAGAACAGCAAAAATCCGACATTTCAATTTTCCTGAAAAGTAAGTACAGTATGAAAGGAAGAAAGATTATGCTGACTGTATCCTGCGCATACAAACATAACTAATTTCTAAAGCCAAAATTTTATTAAAGTATGTGCCGAAAAATCCTAGGTACGATTCGTAACTAATCACTAAAAACTGGAGAGCCATAAAAGAGCTAAAAGTTCTGTAATTATGAATCCTCTATGTTATACAGAACATCTAACATTTAGGGATAGCAATTCTGAACTACTGAGAGGACCCATGAGTCCTTGGATGCAGAAGTGAAAAATTCACAACTGATGACCGCAATGTAAACAAACTTGAAAAATTTGAGTATTTGAGAAAAAATGGCAGCACGGATAGGAACAACTGAAGACACTTAAGAAGCAACAAGAAACAAGTCTAAATATGTTTAGCATAATAAAACCCTCCATTCAGACTTGTATCGTAAGTGACTACTTAGGTCCTACAAAAGAGTCTGCCAGCGCTATGTTCCTAAACCAAGACTGAAATTACTGGTCTGACTTGTTTTCGGATGTTCTGAAGAATGCCAGCCAACAGTGGCAATGAGTGAGGAAGATTTAATGCATGTAACGGAAGGAAAAACTACATCGCACGAGCTAGACGTATATTCCTCCCTTGAGGGAGTAAATCAAGAGTTTCGGTTGGCTAATAAACACCAAGCAATTTATCCCACCTGACCTATACACTAAATCGTAGTTGAGACTATGGAGATATGGTTGGTGAGATTGCTAAGATTAGGGGACCAAAAAAAAAATGTTAGAGCCCTAGGTTGACATTCGACTTATGAAAAGGTTGACTTGACTGTGTGACCAAGTCATGTATGAATTCGTCCAAGAACCTGTCAGCAACCAAAAATATCAACGAAGAGGTGGTTACATTGAGGTACTCAATAGCTTCTGTGCAAGGAAACACCTTTCTTAACATACTAAAAATTAAAAGGAACACTGAATTACCTGAGAATCACTCCACATCCTTGTTTATTATGGCATGTTCACATAAGAGTTTCAGTCGCGAAAGCATGTTTAACACCGATTCAAACTCGAAGCGCACAAATTGAACATGAAAATCCGAGCACAGTAGAACGAATCGAACAGCACAGAGATAATCCACACACAGTCCGCATTTGCTTTGAAATTATCAGCAGAAAAAGAGCGTCCACAACAGATAGCTCGCGTTGTCTTGCTTACAGTAGCATACGGTCCAATACACGTAGGTTATCTGTTTGACTGAAAAGCGCTGGCTACGAAATTTCGCATCCCGCCTCGGCGTTGCGTTCGGGTATTTTCGGCAAGTAAACATTTTCCCCTTCGGCTTCGGGCAACTCCGGGCATCATCGGCTCAACTTCGTGCAGACTCGGCAGTTTACGAGAATCAAGTTACGGCTCCGTCGAGGGGACCTCGGAATACCTAACTACGTTGCCGCTTTGGGCACGAAATTCTTCTTTTCTCGCGAGGTACGGGAGATTTTCGGCTGCAACCGGCACGCCTGCAGCGGAGGTCTGATGAAACAAAGTGAACCATTATGGGCCGCGCTGGCACTGGATAAGGCCGCGGGAGGAAAAAATGGCGTTCCCTAGTTTTTTTCTTTTTTTACTCTTTCCTCTCTCCACGTTTCCACCAATCAGCCTCCGCCTACATCGATTGCGCTCCGGCTCAGAATTTTCCCTCCGCGCTCCGGGTTTGAAAAGTCGGCACCGCTCCGCGCAAAATTTTCCGAAGCTCCTGCTGTCAGTGTCACTTCGACCCTGAAAGAGTCGATATCAGCGCTGCGCGTGAACATGCTACGCTGCGAACATTTCCCCGCGCAAAAACCTTTGAAAAAATATGAAAAAAAGTACGGATGATTGCTCGCTTCGGCGAAAGTATCTCGTGCTGGCACGAGGCTGGTTCCTGACAAGAGAAAAAAGATAAAAATTGCAATGCGAAGGTCGTCGAAACATTGCCTACATCTACTGGTAGCTCTGATTTCAGTAGTAAAGTTTCAGTGGGGAATTTTTGGCGGTGTGAGAATCATCTTATCTTAATTTAGAAGCACAAGCACAGTTCTAAAATTAAACAAGAGAGAAAATAAAAAATCAACTTCCTGTAATTTTAGTGCAAAAAGAAAATACCATAACATTCACAGCTATGAATCATTTCAGGGAAAAAAGACACATTTGTTTGCCGTAATATACATTTACATGCAATATTTTTTACAGCTTCCATTGTTAATTTGTAAGCTTTTTTAGAAAAACGAAAAATTGACTTTTATCGAGGAGCCCTCTTAAAAAACCGCTTTTTTACTATCTTCCCTCTTTTTTTTAAACATATTCGGTCGCTCGATTTCGTCGGTAAAAATGTTTATATCCGGTTTTTTCCCACCATTACATTATAATTTAAAGTGATGGCGCATTTTAAGTTGCCATGCTGTCTGAAAAACTGTCAGGAAGTCCATTATACTAGCCCTATAAGCGAAATACCGGATTTTTTTAAAGTGTCACATCGTCACATAGGGGCACGTATAGCCCTCCGACGTCCATAAAGGTCCAGTTACACGATCAAATTGAGCCATCAAATTGGGCCTCTCATTGGTCGCATCCTCACCTCAGGTCTTTTTCCACCAATCAGAGCCTCAATTTGATGGCTTAATTTGATCGTGTAACTAGACCTTAATATTCCTCGAAGTGTAAGATTTCATGTGAAAGCCACCACTGCTAAGAACCCGGAGTGCTGGAGCAGGGGTCCGAGGAGTTGAAGTTTGAATTTGGCGCGCGGACCGGGGAGCGAGCGCGGGTGGCGGGAACCGGCGAGCCCGGGCGACGAAGGCGGGAGGGGGGTGGAGCGGCCTCGCGGCGCGCGGCGGCGATTTTGAAAGTGGAGCGCGCGGGAAAATGACGGGCGCGGGATGACAGGTAGAAGACATGTGATAGGTGGACGCGGAGGAGCGCGGATGCCCCGCGCGCGCGTCGCGCCTCGCCGCAGAGCTTCTCCGGCCGCGATACGAACTTGCACCGGTGCCAAGTCCGGGAAGTCACCGTCCATCGCAGTTAGAATTATTGTTGGAGCAGTTTTTGCTCGATGGGATTAAGGCCTGCAACATTTTTGACGATGACTCGGGCTGAAACTGCTCGCTGGCCGATGAGAAAACTAGCAAACGCATTGCTTATACTCACACGGAAAAAAATATTGCTGATTCAACAATTCAATTGCTAAAAACAGTGAGTGCAATGTTTCAACGCAGATTTTACAACAAAAAAATGCTACTTTGACCACATTGTAAACTAATATAACCACGGGGGTGGTTAAAGAAGCATTTTTTTTTTTTTTTTTTTTTGTAAAATCTGCGTTGAAACATTGCACTCACTGTTTTTAGCAATTGAATTGTTGAACCAGCAATTTTTTTTCCGTGCATTTTGGAGACCTTAGAGTGAAAGGAAATAAACATCGAGATATCGAACATATTTTGCATATTACTGCTTCCACTAAATATTAGCGCCCAGGAGCACGCCTGCACTCATCAAATTTCTTCAGGCCTGGATACACGCTCAAATTTCCGTCTATTTCCGATTAAAACGATGACAAAAAAGGTGGTCAAATTATTGCAGGCCGTACAAATTTGATGGTGGATGGTGCGCACCCAGTCAACATTTGATCGGAAATTGATGAAAATTTGAGCGTGTATCCAGGCCTTTCTCAAAAAGGATCTATTTTGCAAATCCTGAAGTAAGGCCAAGAGTATCGTAACGTAAAATATTACATTTGATTGATCTTATGGGTCAAAAGGGTCAAACTCAATCGCTTCTTGGTCCTTAATTCAGTCTAGAAACCACGCGTTTTTTCACACTTCGCCTTACTCGTGAGGATTTGCTGTCCCTCATCAAACTCATTTTGTATTTTTTTAATCTCAAAAAATAGGTTAAAGACAGTAAAGACTAAAGTATTTGCGCAACACATGAAAAAACATCCCTCCAATCGGCCTGCACACGCGACAAGCCGCCAAAAATTGGCGGTAGCGAGGGTGTTCATTCTGGCGTCTAAGCGGCTCGTATGCAGTTGAGCCATGGAAGGTGCAGAGGGTCGAAACGGTCAAAAAGAGTCGTCCTTCGATACAGGTTCTTTCGATACGATGCGCATTATACTCCGTAACATGGGGACTTTCATGACGATGAAATCGACAAAACCTCCAATCAAAGTCTAACTTATTTGCTCATTTGAAATGACCGAAAAAGTCCGTCTAAGTATCTTTCCACGCTCCTCACGAAACGTGCAAGGAAAAACGGCCGAGCAAACCGCAAAAAAGAGACAAAACGGTCAAAAACATGTGATTCCTAGTGTCAAGATTGTTCTAAATCAAGCCAATTTGTCAACAGCATTGTGGTTTTTTTTACAGCATAATATTTAAACCCACCCGATTGGTACGAACTTCGCACTCCTCACATTATTATCAATCGGTAGCCCTGTATACGAGACACCTTTCTGCTCCTTTTAGAGATGACGTCACCATAGGGATCTCCCCTATATCGAATTGGATCCAACCAATGACGATCAGACCTTTTCAATCCTGCCAATGAGAATAAACTGATATACATAGTTTTTCATTAACGTAATACTCATAGCATCCACCGCGATGCGGTCCTCGTTGACTCAGCGCCCTGAGGTAGGCAACACCGCCCACATGGTCATCGGATCCGCCGAAGTGCATTCATATTTGATGGCGCTGTCATCTTCAAAGCTTCCCGCCGCGGCCGCCAGAGCGCGCTGGCCCAAGTTCGGCGCCCAACTTTCGGCCGTCTCCCCCTCCCGCCTGGAACTAGGGGAGCGCGATTGACGTTTGCGTAGACGTAGCCCCCCCGGCCCTCCCCCTCCCCCCACCCGGCCGCTCTCTCCTCCGCTCGGGCCGGGCGCCACACTGGAGCGAGATGCGTTTCCGGCATTTTTTCCGGATCGAGCTATCGTACTGTCCCGGCCGGGGGCGGAGGGGGTATCGGAGCTCTGTTGAATGTGCTCCATGCTTCGTATGCACTCGGCTTCTCGTAAGCTAATTGCCCGCGTGCTCCGCGGCACTTTGGACGTCGGATCCGCGACGGCGTCGCGTCGCGTCGGTCGCGTCGAGGAGCACGTGGTCGACGGCGACGGCATGTTTTCCAGCGCCGGACGAGAAACTGTCACTTTTTGCCGCTGATTCCCGCCGCGGGTGGAAAGCTACCTGCACGCACTATTCGTTCATGAGAGCTTACATTTTGAATTGCTAAAAACATACGAGGCAATAAAGCACGATTCTGCACCCTGATGGAAAATTTCGATCGTTAAAAGCCTGTGGTACCGATTTGTCGCAAGTAATAGAAGACTAGAGTACCTGTATAGGGAGAGTAGCGACAGATCTGAAACTCCGAAAGTCCATCAGGCCTTCACTGATGCCTCCGCGAATAAAGTTAGGGCCCAAAAGGGCAGCCAACCTATGAATTTCGAATGTCCAGAGCGATTTACAAATACAATTGTTACGAACCGTCGTTTAGAAAGCATGTATTTGGCTTACTTTTTGCATAAATTTACTTATTTTTGCGAAAGAACGCTCATCTATGTACATTCTTAGCCATCTTGGTTAGAATTGAAATCTGTAGGCTGGCAGTGGAATTTTGTGTGTTAGAAGTTGCTCAGAAGGGTGGCTGCACTTTTGGGCCCTAAGCCCTCCATGAACCGATCTGTCGCTACTCTCCCTATACAGGTACTCTACAGAAGACTTGCGGTTTGACGCAGACCTCACGTAATTTTGAAGGGCAAAAAGACTGAGAAAAAGTTGCTTTTGGATCAGAAGGAATTTCTGTTTAGTCGGTCTGGCTCGAAAATTCTTATGCTGATACATTTTCGCGGCCTCTTCCCCCCGGAAATCTAACGACGAACACTAGGACACATGGAAATATACACTCACACTTTGAAGAGCCATCGGAAACGTTCCCGGAATCTTCCCGGGAACTCAACTGGGAGGTCCCTATCCCATTTCCTGCATTTGAAATTCCCCAGAAACTATGCTCTCTATTCTTTACCTTACTGCTTTCTTTAGGAAGACGGCAAACCTATCGGTAGTTTCTCTGGGTAAGATACCAGGGCCGGATTAAGGGGATGGCCACATGGGCCGCGGCCCATGGCGGCAAATCTATAGGGGGCGGCAAATTTTGCAATTTTTTAAAAGTAGGTAAAAAAAATTCGGATTTAGAGAAAAAAATTATAAACGACAAAAAGCGACAAAAACTCTAATCTTCTGA